ACCCCAAAAGGGACCCTAACTTAGAGAGCGATTAAAAACCCCAGACCATCCTAGACCCTCAACCCTAAAAGAGAGAACGACCCAGCTGAGGCTTTTCCTCTTCAGCATGCCCCTTTTCGAGCAGCTGCGGGAGCCTAAGGATTCGTGTGTATGGGGTGAGTCCAACGCCTTCGGGATATACTTAGAAGTTTGGGTTGGGGGCAAGGCTCTTAAGCGTGGAGCATCGCTGCTCAGGGATGGACTAGTGACTAGATTTGCCGGTGAGTTTGAACAGGGCCTCAACCACATCTACGACTCCAGAGTCTTACAGCATACTGCTTTGCCGAAAAAAAAACCAAGCAAGGCAGCAAACTTCCCATCGTTTTCTGCCCTCCACGTCCATGCACCAAGCATGTACATCTACTTTCGGTGCCCCGCGCTGAGAGACAGCTGCCTTTTTGGGCCTACATGAAGTTCTAAGTTCTCTTCGCAACCCGGAAGACAATTCAGGGTTTCGGGTTTAGGGCATCTGTACACCTATGTAAATAATCACCAAAGAGCAGGCCGACACCCAAACCTTAAACGCCTCACCCTACACGCCAGATCACGACATAGACACATGTTTCCTGAACCCAACCCTATACCTCAGGCGTCGGTTGGCCGGCCTCGGCTATCTAAGCTGAAGGCGGGGAATGCTTGAATCCCAAATCCTAAGCCCCAAACCCCCTAAAGCAAGGAGGCTTTTGAGTTTCGGAGCTCAAACTGTCTTAGGCTGCATTTTGCGTTTAGACATTAGATTTCATAGTTTAGGGTTCAAGGTTTCGGGCAGAGAGGGCATTAGGCGCTGATGGTGAACCTAGTTCATACCCCACATTCACAGACAAGGGGAACTGCTGGTGGCAATCGCACATACGACTTGTATGATGCAGCAGCAAGACTACTCTAAACACAAGTATAGTTCCACCTTCAGCGCTAGTTAAACTGTATAGGCATATATGTATGTGTATGTGTATATATATATATATACACATAAATAATGCCTCATAGAACCCAAGATCTGTGCCAGGAACGGCCGTGCTTCGAGCCTTCGCAGTCCTGTTTCAAAGCATGGCCTGTATGGTCAGAGAGATTTTGTAGTGGGAGTGCAATTCGAGACTCTGAGGCAGAAATGATTCGAGACCCTTAAACCCCAAACACCTCGAGAGGCTTTCGAGAGAGGAAATCAGAATAATGAGCCTTCAAATGGTAGTAGGTATTTATAGGCTCCAGGTATGGCTTCAGGGTTTCCGGCTCGGTGTGCATGTTTTCCCAGCATTTTCCATGCTTGTAAAGCAGAAATAGTCGCTTTTGTCCAGATGGAAGCTTGTAAAGATGCTCTGAGGAGCACACGATTTCCTCACCTGCTGCGCTCGCGCAGGAAGAAAATGCCATCTGAATCTCACCAGTTGGCACGAATCCTCCAATCTCAATCCTACCTGTAGTCTCGATCGTAGTTCCGTTCTCTAGATTTAACTAGCCGGGGTTATAGTTAGGATCCTATGAGGTAAACCAAAGAGGAACTATATACAATGGAGACTATAGGTGCACTTTAAGCCCTAAGGCCCTAAAGCACACGAATGAAGCAAAGTTCCCCGAAACTGCATTCAGGTGATGCAGGCCTGTTGTAGCACGATTGCCTCTCAAGGTGAAGTGAAGGTGCGTTGAAGGGCCTTGTCCGAGCTGGTTTGAGGCTTCTTCTTCGGAAACCTCGGAGGTCTGATATAGAAGCCTCTATAATTAGAGTAGGTTCTTGGGCCCCATTATGCTATAATTACGAAAAGGAGCCCCCCCCAAAACAGTGTGGGTAATCATTGAGGTCCCTATACCAGAAGATTGCAAAGCACAGGGCCCATACCCTTGAGGGTTAGCCCATGCCCTAAACCCGGCACTCACAACTTCTCTGAAGTTTCGCCGGATATGCTTGCCTCTGGATGCTCAAAGCTTCGTCGTAGGAACCATGTCACCACGACAGACCCCGGTCACAGCCGGAAATCGCCTGAAAAGGTTCAGGGTTTAGACCCCGGCCCCGAACTCAAAGACTCGCATCCCAGAGCGGAGACACGAAAAACGCTTAGCAGCATGCCTCAGCGTCGGACCTGATAGCCCCCCAAATACGGCTGCTGACAAGATTCGATTGCAAAAGTTTCGAAAGCTTGCGCCACATCCTCTCGACCAGCCGGCGACGGCTTGAGGCAGTCGTTCGATTTTCGGGTTATAAACCCTAAACGCCCTAAACCCTGCACTAAGCCCTGACAGCATGAAAGGCGGCAAAAAGGAGCTAGAAATAAAAGACTAAACTAAACCCCTACAAATCCTGGGAAATATTTCGGCTTTACCCCAAGGCCCCTAGTTCCTTTTTGGGGTTCATGTATCCAATCCTATAAGGTGATCCCAAAACGGAACTACTTTGGGGCCTCTGGGTAGCGACTCTAGGGACTTTTGGGTTTCCTCTTTGCATCTCTGCGCTGACTGCGCGAGATGAGATGTCTTGAGCTTCAGGTACCATCCGCAGGGCGTTCCACTATAGAGTCCTGAAGACTTGGAAGGCTTTAGGTGCAGGTTCTACTATTATAGAGAGATTAAGGAGTGCTAGGGAATAGTATAGTTTGGCTACGTACTCAGGCCCCTATGTTGCTGCAAAGCCTCAACTCAACCCTTCGGGAAACCCCTGCCTCGTTGTTCAGCCGAGGTCGAAGCCATGCTGGCTTTACGCAGTGTCAGCAAACAGGGGCGCCAGGTGCGCAGCGGTGGTTTAAGTTTGGGGTTTGGGCTTCGAGGGTTTCGGGTTTAAAGTTTGCGGTTCCGGATCTTCAGTTGAACTAGTTACACATCAAGCTGGGTGATCAGGATGCAATGCCAACGGCTTAGGGTGCTGTGTACTTGGGTCTGGAATAGTTCTTGTGTATCCCAAACCTGAAGGACCAAATGACCCTTAAAAGTACGGGCCTTATACCCACATACTATGAATCCCTGTAAGGGTATATGAACCTTAAACCCTTTTAGGGTTCATTTCGTCCTTAAGGAAAGCGTCACCTATGTTTCTTCATCTTTAGCTTCTCCATTTTGAGTGACCGGATTCCGCAGCTACACTTGCCCACCCAGAATTCCCAACCGGAAATCTTTCACCGAAGTTCTTCTCAAACCTGCAGCCCTTGAGCCACAGAGAACTTCCAAGTCTGAAGTATCGAACCGTCTGGGTTGCAGGGATCACTTTGCAGACCTTCCTGCTTTGATACATATTTGGAGTTTTTGGGGCTTAGGCAACAATGGTACTTGGGAAAGCTGATCCCAAGCCTTCACCCGCTCTTCACGCTGGTGGGGTCCAAGCCTGGAAGTCTTAAGGATAGACGGGTTGGATGCTTTTGCCTTTAGGCCCTGAGTTGCAGTAAGTCCTCCGGGATAACCAGTTCGTTTATGGCAATGATCCCTTACAAAGAAGGTACGGTTGATGATATAAATCCTGCATGACCCATTATAAGGAATATACTATAATTCCCATAGTTTAGGGCCCTTAAGGTAATGCAGGATTTATATCATCAACCGTATGACAAGCAGATAACAACAAAATCGCAACTGAGAGTCGAGGGGCTAGCAGGGGTCGTCATTGTCCAGTTGAGCCCGCACCTATACTCAGCCACAGAATTCTACCCGAAAACCCCACCGTTTTAGACACAATCCAGCCAAAAAGCACCCACATGAAATGCCCTAAGCCCTAACTCCTGAATTTCGAATAGAAAACTAGACAACTTCATCGCTGGCCCGGCTACAACCTACAACCTTTTGCACCCAAGGGCCCCAAACCTCACCAAATCCCTCACCCGATCCATGCTAAAATCTGCAGCTGCAGATTCAAAACCCTGAAGCCTAAACCTGGTGAACCCAAGACCCAACTCAGTCCCACCCTAAATCCCGAAACTCCCCGAACCTACACCATTCCGCCTCTACCACCTCGCCGACACGCAGAGCTGGCATCTTCATGGGGTTAAGGCGTCAACTGTGTCTTCTTCTGGCTAGCCGGGTCGCATAGCACACTCCCATCCACTTCGATCCCTCCTCACCTTGGATGTGAAACACCCCAGCCAGCTTCCCAAGGACACGGTGCAAACTTTACGCCTCAAGGCTGTAGTTGACAGTGCGGCGTTGACGCGGTGCTGCACGCATTCCTGCCGCAAGCTTTCTTGCTGCATGACAGGATGGAGCTTGAATCCCGAGACTCAAGCATCCAATCCATGTACCGGAAAGAGTCAGGAACTCGGTTGCTTGTGTTTGCCAGAGAGATAGTGGTCTCATGTTGGTGTAGAGCATTTTTCGAGCTGAAGCGATGGGGCAGCTGCCCGTGTCAGAACCATACGAAGACTCAGCTGCAATTTCCATCCAGAAGGTTCGGCGAGATTACCGACAGAGATCATCACTCAAAACCTCTGCTGCGATTACCATCCAGCGGATTTGGCGAGGTTTTCGACAAAGATCATTTCTCGAGTTCCTACTTCGACTTCGCGAAGATTCCGTTGCAATAGCAGCTGCGAGTACCATCCAGCGGGTTTGGCGAGCTTACCGACAGAGATCATTTCTCAGGTACCGATATTACATTATCGATGCCTCAGCACAGTCGTATGCTCGGAAGAGCTGGAAGAGCACGAACAGCACGGCCTCCATCGTCGTCACCGTCGCTGTTAGTACCCGTCCAGACCCTTGTGTGGGACAGGCTCTCCGCCAGGCAAGTCGCGAAAGCCGCCATGCAGCGCGGGCAACAAAGCTGTGTGCACAATGGGAGAAGAAAAGCTTAGGCATCTCTGCACAGAGGAGCAAGGCCCCGCATTTTTCACGCCGTGGTTTTATACATGAGGATCACCACAAGTTCACGTTGCTCATCAACGAGGAGTTGGCTGGGGTCGAGCGCACGCAGATCAAGCGGGAGCCCCTGAACCACCCAAGTGACTTGACGACAAGGTCAGAAAAAAGGGGTACAAAAGCAGCATCAGATGAAGGCCCATAAAGATTTCAAATCTACTGGAAAAGCATGCGCGAATCCAAAATATGACGGCATAACAAAGGTTGTGCCTGCAGACCAGTGCAAGCAGATCAATAGAAGCGATGTTGTAGATTCTGTTTACTCGGCCAACAAGTCTGGCGTTCACAGCGATCCGATCACTATGGAGGATTTGAACGCGCTGACAGAGCAAGCTAAACAAAGCCATGAGGCACAGACTACAGGAGAGAAGCCGGTTAAAATCCAAGAGGTTGAGCGGAAGCGGTCGGAAATCAAGCAGTTTCAGAAGAAAAGCAGGGACACCGTGATTGAGAAAACAAAGCAAGGATGCAAAACCGCCGCGAAAGCCGCTGCGATTGCAGCAGGGCTAGCCGCTTTGACGTCCCTGGCATCTTCAACATACAAACTTTATCCACAGTACAAACGAGGAGACATTTCACTCTCGACTGCTGTCTGGGAGGCGTTCACAGATTTGACAAGTTCAGCCGCTACAGCAGGAGGCACCGGCGCCTTGATGGGCATCGTGGAGCTCTTGTGCGAGCATAATGCTCCTAAAGTCGTCGACAAGCTCGGTCTGGGCATGGCAGCTTTCATGTGGCTATTTCAGGTGGCTGTACATGTGAAGCAATGGTGGGAGAAAGACATCTCGGCATCGGAGCTTGCAGGAAGAATCTTGCAGACAACGGTCTCCATGGGAGCCGGAGGTGGCGGAGGATTTCTGGGGAGCATGGCAGGCATGAGTCTCTGTGGACCTCTCGGTGCCATCATTGGCGGCTTTCTTGGGGGGATGCTGGCAGGTTTCTGCGTCGATTACCACAACACTTTTGTACCACTTCGTGCTTGGGTAACAAGCACTCGACCCACAGACAATCTTCTCCGTGACTTGGACTACGACAATGGGCACTGGTGGGTTAAGGGAAAAGCCGATGAGATCCTCTCTGTGTTGGAGGGCCAAGGGCCGTGGGGTTGGTTAAAGTCTGAGCCAACGCAACAAGACGTGTCACGACTTGTGCGTGAGCTAGGCTCACACTTCCGACGGGTGGCTTTGAAATATCATCCTGACAGAGCAGCTCTTCGTGGGGACACGCCGGCACAGCGCACTGACAACATCGCCAAACTCAAAACTGCAAAAAATGCATATGAGCAACTTGTGCAGCTGCTGAATGATCAGCTTGTTGCATCCCAGCGTTTTGAAGCTGCCATGCTCTGTCGTCCAGTCTTGATGCTTCCAGAACCAGATGCTCAGCCGTAGAGCCGTTGCAGGAGGCTGGCAAGATGTTGCAACAAAGTCAAGAGTCGGGAGAACGCTTTGGCAACCCAAAGGATCCTAAGAACTTGTACGGGGGATACTTTCCAAAATCATATTCGTGATTCCTAATGCGCAAGCCCTACATTCTACGATGTTGGTATAGAGGACATAAGGACCATGTTCGTAAGTCTCGTCGTGAAGCTCGTTGACCCAAGCTTGGCATCGGCAGGGCCGACAGGATCATTCACTGTTTGGGCTGATGCAGTTTACGCACTTAATGATTAGCCGATTAACCAACTCGAGGATAAGATTTGCAACGCGAGTCTTGTTGGCAACATTCAGGAAGGCGATCGATGAGTAGAGATGAGAAGGCTGCTGATCTGGATGTAGACTATTGGTCTGATGTTCCCCAAACCCTAAACCTCAAACCCCGAAACCCTAAACCCTAAACCCCTAAACCCTAAACCCCTAACCCCTAAACCCCTAAGTCCTAAACCCCTAAACCAGGGCTTGGAGCAGGCAGTTGTACCAGGAGGTTCTCGAGACCAGAATGCTCGATGTTCTGACGTCCAGTTCGTGGGTTTAGGGTTTAGGGTTTTAGGGAAGGACCCCCCGAGGGCCCTGAAATAGAGCCCTTATGGTCCCAATAGTGGGTATTGAGGTTATAGTAGAGGTAGTTGGGAGGTCTAGGTGGGCCCTAAGCCCCAAACCTCGAAATTCGGTGGGAGAAAAAGTTCATGATTGCGGCTGCTTTAGTGTTCAAGGCTGCAGGGTTTTGGGGCTTCTAGGACCCAGACCATCCTAAACCCTAAATCTTACGATACGGCGAGGTTCCTTTATCTGCTGGAGGGCTGAGTGATGCTTATAGAGTTCTTCTGAACCCAATCGGCTCTACCATAATCCCCAAGTCCAAAGTCCCAAGAAGTCAATCCAACAATTGCACGATTTAAACTTTAAGTCCATTGTGTCCAGATTCAAACCCTGCATAGACCTTGGAATGGAGCCAACAAGCCACATACCCACACCGGAACACACCACAGTGCTGTGGACCTGGAAGTTGCCGAAGGCTGCGCGTCGCTTTGGGTCCGCAGCGAAGACCTTGCAGGAGCAGAGACCCTCAAGACTCCATTTGCCCTTCAAGTATATAGCTGCTTTAGGGTTTAGGGTTCAGGGATACTCCCTTGGGGTTTAGGGTTCAGGGTATATACTTAGACCTTGCAGGAGCAGCGACATGCCCTAAAGGCTCCATGTACCCTTAAGAGTTTGGGGTTCAGCGTTTAAGGTTTAAGGTGTATACTTAGGCCTTATATAGTCTATATAGGAACCTTAATGCCTAAGTACACATGATTAACTATATAGGGTACATGGTGCCCTAGGGGATATGGGAGTTTCCGAAAATAGGGGACCCTACTATAGTATCCTATATGGTAGGACCCGTCCCAAGATAAGGTACCCCTAGTTTTCGGAAACCACCACCTAGTTCCCACATTTTATCGGACGAAGCTGCTCTTCCTGGCTGTCGGTGCTCGGGCGGGCGAAGCCTGGGGTTTCCGAGAGGGCCTTGAATTGATGTTGAGTCGAGGGGTGGTATGTAAAGTCGGGCCCCTTACTTAACCTAAACCCTATGCCCTAAGATCCCTTATTAAGGGTTTTTGGCCCCGGTCCAAGTGCCAATATAGTAGTGAATTGGGCCCTTTGGGTCAGGTGAGTTGTTACAAAGAAGCTCAACGCCCAGGCCGCCCACCTCCGTGGGTAGCCTTAGGGCTTGGTACCTAGACCGGAAACCCTGAACTCTCAAACCCGAAGCCCCACAAAGAGACATGGAGCCTGAAGGTAAGGTATCGATGTTTTAGGCCGGTTTCACGCAAGACTTCCCTCAAATCATCATAGTAATCCCCAATATTGCAACCCGACATGCTACTAAATATTTACCTATAGGACCCTTTGATGTTTTAGGCCGGGCTTACGCAAGAACCAATACTATTCGAGGGTTCCTAATTCGCTAGTAATTACAATATATTCGGCACCACAAAATGACTCTAGTTATTAAGGCCCCTATAGTATAGAACCCTTCTTAAACCCCTTTAAAGGAACCCTATACCCTATTCAGGCCCCTATACTATAGAACCATACTGTAGACCCGTTATTGAACCCCTTTAAGGAACCCGCTAAAAGGAACCCTACTCTACTTATTAAGGCCCCTGTAGTACCCCGCCCGCAGGAGCTTTGGGCAGGCGGTGCGCCTTTGACCCAAGTCGTAGCAGCCTCGGCCCAGTCTGGGATAAGGGCTTTAGGATTTAGGGGTTAGAGTTTCTCGGTTTAGGTTTTAGAGGTTAGGGTTTAGAGATTAGGGTTCGGATTTTAGGGTTGAGGGATTAGGGTTTAGAGATTAGGGTTTTAGAGTTTAGGGAAAAGGGCTTTACGGTCTAGAGATTAGGGTGAAGAGATTAGGGTTTAGAGTATAGGGTTGAGTGTGTAGGGTTTAGAGATTAGGGTTTAGAGTTTAGGGATAAGGGCTTTAGGGTCTAGAGATTAGGGTGAAGAGATTAGGCTTTTCAGTATAGGCTTGAGTGTGTAGGGTTTAGAGATTAGGGTTTGGAGTTTAGGGTTTAGAGATTAGGGTTTAGAGTTCGGGGTTTAGAGTTTAGGGTCAAGGGTTTAGGGTTGAGGGCTTAGGGTTTAGGCTTCATGGTTTAGGGTTTGGTTTTTCGGCGGTTTCAAAAAGGTTTAAGGCTGAGGAAACCGAAACCCTTCAGAGCATTAAATCTCAGTTGTTTGTGATGTTGTTGGGTCCAAGATGCTTTGGGGCTTACCAAACCCCCGAGTAACCTCACTTTGTACGGACTTGTATAAAGAAGTCATAACAAGGAACCCGAAAAAGGTAGGCTCTTTAGGGTCCAGGTAGGGCTCGGGCTCAGGGAGAAGAGGGGTTTTCGGGCTGGCAGGATGAAGGGTGTTGGAGTCACAGGTTGATGGTGTAGGACTTCCTCAAGGATTACCTATGGACTCCACAACTTTGATTTCTTAGTTTTCCTATGCTAGCATCCCACCCATAGATTAAGTCGGCCTGCAAAAGGTATCACAGTCTAGCCCAGACCTCGTGCAACATCTGCAAGACCTGTTAAGGTTTATCTTTCAAGTCACTAGCAATAGTGATCTATCGTAAATAATATTCTGGTAACCTAACTAAGACCACTAAACCCCAAAACCCTAAACCTATTCTGAAGCCCACTGGTCCCTAAAGCTTCGAGGTTGCAGAGTCCCACAGCCGCGCTGCGAAAGCAGATCGCAATGCTGTGGCCCGAGCCGGCATTCAACAATGCTATCTTTGTATCGGTCTATCGAGCTATCTATCTATGTATCGACCTACTACTTATCTATCTATTTATCTATCTATCTATCTATGTTTCTGTTTGTTCCTTCTGTCTCTATGTATATATAGTTACTCATGGATATACTGGGTGAGTACATATATATACATACAGTTATGTGTGTGTATATATATATGCATATATAACTATGTATATATATATATATAGTTATATACACAAAGTTATTTATTTATATATGTATATATATATATATATATATATGTATGTATATACACTTTACTTACAGACATATATATATATATATATATGTATATGTATATATATATATATATATATATATATAATACAAATGTATGCATATGTATAAAACATGTATGTATGTGCGTACGTACGTACGTAGTCCGCATGTACGCATGTACCCATGCATGCATGGATGTATGTGTGTATGTATGTGCGTATGTATGTATGTATGTATGTATGTGGAGAAGTAACCCCAGTTTAGCCCCAGCTCTAGTTCTTCAGGCCTCTATCAGATCTTCCCGTCGGGTGGCTCTTGCAGGAAAGTGTGCAGGAGAGGGTTATAAGGGTTTGTAAGGTATGGCGTACCTTCAAGTCATCGCTCAGGAATGGGTCTACCTGGCGCCGGTCGAGCAGGCCAGAGAAGGTCGGTGTTGAGGTCTCTGCGGGTTGTAGGGTCTTTCGAATTCGCGCAACGAACTACAGCCATACTTTAATTATTATATGTATAATGTTCTAGTTCGCCGTGGTTGCTTCTTGGTTTGATGAACTGCACCTCGAGGACTGGGATACTTTAGGCTTTGAGTGCTTGCGGCATCGACGACAAGCCGCGATCGTCACATGGCCATGCCCCATGGCCGCATGGCCGAGTCCGAAGCCCCAAAAGTTTGAATCCTATGTATCCCTAGTATCCCCAAGTCTTCAAGTTGCCAAGAGCAGGTTTGTAGGGCTTAGGGTTTATTTAGGGTAAGGAATTGTAAGTCTTCGGCCGTTTAAATAACAAATACAAGCATGTAGGTAGTTGATTTGTGTATTTGCTTGGAGCCTTTGGGCATACTCCACACTGTTGGCCAGTGTTGGAATCGGCCCCATGCTCACACTTCAAGCATGAAGCCTTGCTGTTCTTCAATCTGTACTTTCAGAGTTTACCTAGGCATCCCAACTACCCTCTACTAAAGCCTCAACCCACATTAAAAAAAGACCTGAGCGGCTCTATCAAAGGGTACTGGGTTTTATAACCCCCTTAAATGAAGCAGAAGGATCCTTCATGTGTTCTACGACTCCGACTCCCTGATGCTATTGAAGGGGCGTGTGAGTCTTGGGGTTGCGGCCCTGAAGCCCAAACCGAACATGAAAATCCCCAAAACCGAATTTAGTGTTAAAGGGTTTAGGGCTTAGGGTTTGCAGTAGAAGCCCAAAAGTTAGAAGCCCAATAACATCAATCCTGAAGAGTAATGTATAGGGAATACCAGCATTATTTGGCCTTGACCCGGTTTCCGGCTTTATGGGGTTTACCCTAAGGGTTAGGGAGTTTCAATAAAGGGACCTAAATATACACCTCAACCGTTTTGGGGGTTCGTATAGTTATAGTTATAGTATACGAGGCCCCAAAACCCTATTCCAGTGAAAAAGGCCCCCTTTTTTATAGTAGAC